TACAAGAGGTTTAGAAGGCTCAATTTTGTGTGTTCTATATATATATATAAAAAAAAGAAGCCATACCGTATCCTCTACAAAAGTGGATCGCATTTAATGATCTCATCACATTATGTTCTTGGTTTGTACTGTCACCATGGAGAAGCTGAGAATGATGATGAGATATGAAAGGTGTGCTACCTAGCAAATACAACCCTTAAATAGAAGCAGCTCCTGCGAATAACAGACAGCAGGCTAAACCTCTCTTAGCTTTTGTGTCAAGCTCAGTGAAATATATCATTAATGGGACAGAAAACTACAGAAAAGATTAGAAGAGTTTAATAGTTGACTTCTCTATGATAAAATGATTGACATAAAATGGCTTACTAACATGACTAAACTCTTTAAAGCAATAATCACAAATGTAAAGAAATAATACTAAACTATACATATGTACACATATGGGATATAAGAATTATTGCTATGTCAAACTGAATAATACAGAAAAGATGCATATGTAAGATTCTGATGCAACTAACTGGACGGAAAGGAACAACGGAAATTGGGGCGGGAATCCATAAACAATTATGTAGAACAGCGCCTTTGACAAATGATCAATTATTACCAAAAAAATTATTCCTTGAAAGAGGATATTGAGAAGAAAGTGAGAGCCTTGTATTTGTTATTTGTGCTCAAAGATAGGACACATAAATGCATCATTCCAACTTGTTTTTGTATTTTTTTTTCATCTATAACAAACCACTGAATGCAAGGATATAATAAAAGCAAATACTGATTAATATTCACAACCAAATAAATAGGGAGGAAGAACTCTCTTATTGATTGGTTTTAATTAAATGGCTCATGTGCAGAAATATGATTAGTTAGACTGAGGAAAGACTAGTGTGGCCTCAAGTGCTATGACGGGGTAAAAACTTAGCTTAGAGCAAGTTCAACACAACTAACCCCTCAAACCAAAATTTCTCAACTAAGATGAGTTTGGTTCAACTACTGACATTTTTGAATGCAATAAAAATCAAACAAACAAAAGCAATGTTATGGAAAATATGATGAAAGTAAGTGTAAATATGACAAAAGAATTACATTGACTAATATATTGAAACAATTCATAATTAATAAATATAATGATCTAAAAAAAATATATAGCATAAAATTGATAATAAAAACAATAACAACAGTAATAAATAACCAAACCATTTCTGGACTAATTGCATCTCATGGATTCCTTTCAATCTATCATACTGCAAGTCTTCTTTGAGTGGGGCAGCACTAGGTGACTGTCCCCTGTACGGAACTACATTGGTTGATTACCTCTGCCTATACCTACAAAAGGTAACTGACCCTGCTTAAACCTCCCCTTGGTGACTATCCTTGCCTGGACCTCCACTAGGTGATTGTCCTTGCCTAAATGTCCCCTAAGTGACCATCCTTGCCTGGACCTTCCTTAGGTGACTATATTTTGCTGGACCTTAACTAGATGGCTGTCCCTGACTGCCCCACCTCAGAAGAAGCAATAGTGCTTATGCCTGTGTAGATGAATCTGAGAGACCTGTATTTGAAATCTCCTACATCAAGCTTTTGGCTGGATGCTATCACCTTAGTATATGCAAATTGGTGTCAGCAGTATCACACCTCACAAGGTGATAATAAAAAAGAAAAGAAAAAAAAAATGATCATGAAAGAAATAGAACACATAAATAACAATAACATATAATATGCACAAAGTCAGTATACAGTACATGTCAGTTTCTATTTTTGGCATTAATATCGTATTTCAACCATCAGGTTGGGCAGCAACTAACATTCCTTTAGTCGTTCATTTGTATCATTTGGTTCCTCTGAATACCCAAAGTTAAGATGAAAGCCCATGACAAAAGCCACATGTTGACACCATACTGGTCTGCCTTGCTGTGAAGAAATAATGCCTTGCTAGTTAGCTCCTTTAACGTTGAGAATATTAACACCACAGTTTACTTGAAATGGGGAGATTCTCACACTTGGTTCCTCTTACATACTCTCTTGAATTCTACAATAGCCGCAACTAACACGATATCTGAAGTTAAAGTCCTTTTAATGTAATGAAAAAAACTAGTTATATAACCATAAAAAGAAAAGAAAAAAATGCAACTTTGGCACTTGATGTGGTTTACAAGACAATGCATATCATGATCTGTTGCTTGCATACCACCTACTGCAAGCTCTTCTGCCTACATTCAGCACTTTTGGAGATTGCTGAATAGAATATATTACCTTTGCAATTGGGGATGTAACTGATACATATTTCTCATCAAGAAATTTTGGAAACAAAAATATGGAACACAGGAAATGTATTTGACTTACTTTCTTGGATTTCTTTTTATGAAAGTAAAGATATCAAACTGTGGACGCAATCATTATGACATGGAGATAAAAGACATCATGGTGTAACAGTTTATGGCCAAACTAAGGGAGAGGGGGTAGAAGATTCATTGTAGAGCACATGATGGCATGGCTTTGCAGCATCAGCAAAATAATATTAGTTACACTTGCATTAAATAGCCACAATTTCCAGGTCAAGATGCACACTGTATAATTTGCAAAAGATAACATTGCCAGCACAAACATGAGAAATATATGTAAAAAATTATGAACACTGATTTTTTTCCCTTCCTTAGCATGAAAGCAAATTTCAAGTTAGTTTCAAGCATTCAAAGGCCAATCATTGGCAAAATAGAAAAAAAAAAGAGACTACAGTTCCTATCACTGTATAAAAAATGGATTATCATTATCAACATTTTTTTCAAGTTTACTTCTTTATAATGGAAAAGACTTCTCTTTAAGTCCTAGCAGAAGTCATCAACCTTCTATCATCCTGCTTGAGAAGTCACTCCCTGTGGAGCCTTCAGGATAAACAGCAGACCAATGAATGACATCGCTTATATATATAAAGTAAAAAATAAAAGTGACTTTATTGACTATGAATAGCTCATCTCAAAATATAATGACAACATCAATACTGTTCTTTCTTCACTGCAAGTGAAATTTATGTAGCAAATTTTCAGTTAAAAATCACTTTTCAATGTCAAGATTTTAGATTTTACGTGACCCCATGTAGTGGCGAGAAGTCAATATACAGGTATATATCACACATTAAACCAAGATACATTACCTTGAAGTCCTTATGCTTTCAGAAACTGGTTACTCATAATCTCCGTATTATGCACAGGGGCACTGTATTATTTATGAAACAAAACACAAACTCATTTCAATTACAACAGCAAATTGATGTAGTCTAGTATAAATCAATACTTATTTACTTCACTACTTTTTCAGTAAAGTCACTAAGGCCTTGGGTGTAAGTTGTATACTTTTCTGAAGTCATACAATTAGATTTTGCAAATCATCCTACTGTCTTCAGTATATTCAACAATCTTTTCAATTAACCCCTTCTGTTCTTTGGTGATTCCGTGCTCCAGGAGTCTTTAATTTGTTATCAGATGAAAAGAAATAATACATAGAGTATTAGATATGATAATTGTAATTGTAAAGTAACACATTTTATGTGAGAATCAAGATAATTTTATATAAATTTAAAAATTCACTTTGGCTATATTATGCATCATTATGAGAGGAAACCGAAGTTGATAGAGAAAAGAAAAATAAAATATATATATCATACACATTTTCAGATATACCACATGCTTTGTAGGTAATATTATCACAGCTTGTAATATTTAACAACCCATCACAATTGGCTCTTAGTAAACATATCAAATAAAGCACGAGAAGTCAACTGGAGTACGGCCTCACCTTTTCTTGCTGCCTAAGAAACATTAGAAGATTTATTATGGTAAAGAGAGAGGCAGATTTGTGTTACTTCCTCTGGACGAAACAATTTAAATCTTGAGACTACTTTTGTTAGATAAATACTCATTTTCACTTTATCTGCTGAGATATTGAAACTTTTTCTTCTTGATAATGTTCAACAAAAAAACTCCAGTCACTTTGAAGTGTTCTCTTTGGAATATACTGGTTATTGAGAGATCCTTTATGAGTTCCAGATCATTCTTCCTCTGAGTCCCCATCACTGGAGTATCCTTGGCTTGTTATGGGGCGGTGATATGGGGCACATTCCATTTGTCTGCCAGTGAAACAAAGAGGAGAAATCAAGTTAGTTACCAAACCTTTTCTTCTCAAACTATGAAGAGGAGTATCCTCTATCTCACTTTACTTTCTCCTTGAATTAGGACTATGCAAATTGCAATAACTTCTAATCCTTAAATGGGATTGCTTACTATGTAAAAATAAAGAGCCCAGTGTCCAATTACACTGTGTAAAAATATATACAAAAATATAGGACTAGTACAGAACTGCCAACTTTTCAAGGAATCAGAGAGTGAGAAAGCAAAAAATATTTCTCAGTAAATCAATCCTCATATGAGATGAGAACAGATCCAAAACATGTTTATGAAAGCCACTAAAAGTCAGAGAGCAGCTCAAACAAAATTCAAAGAGTTCCTATCATCTCCGAAGAACTTACTGTGGTAGTTCCCCTGAGACAAGACTTACGCAAGCCTTCTGTAATGGTTGAGCCATTCCTCCGTCATCTGGGCCACCGTTAGGGGCTTCTTGGTGAGATGCTGCTGTGCCACCAGTACACCCTCCTTCACTGGACACACACCTCCAGCCACTGTCTAGTAAAGTTTCCTCACAGCCAACCTAGGAATGGATTAAGCTGACAACTTAGTAAAAGAATGCTTCAGCACAAACTTAAGTCTTCTGCTTAGTAATCTTGATATAGCATAAACTGAACTTCAATTTTAGATCTTACCCTTTCTTGTCCACCTGAAATATTCTGGCTTTCTGGTATTTGTTGACATTCACATTTTGGTATACAATGAACAACTACTACACTCATAATTTTCCTTCAGTTTTATTTTCATACTACATTGCTGTTTAGTATGCTTAGAATAAAGAATCATATTGCACAGAATCGAACGCAAGGCATTTCATTCCCAACACTAATGACAAATACTCTTTTCTCTACTCTATAAATATAAGAGGATTAAGAACTAAAATAATACTTACCACTCTGGCTTGATTAAAAGGCAAGGCTAATCATGTCTTACCTCAGCCTGTGTAAGGAAGTGCACAGGGAGAAGCTTGGCATCTTGAGTCATTAAAGGCAAGAAGACAACCTGTGACTCCCCAGCATCCAAGATTGCTCCTTGAAAGAATCATTGTGAATCCAATATAAGTACAGAGATACATTCTGTTTCAATAAAAAATCTCTTTATTTAAAATTCCTAGAATCATGTGTGTATCAAAGTGATTAATCTTTTTTTTTCTTACTAACTGAACATCATACCATATATGAAATAATATTTCTTCAGTTCACACTTGAATAAAGTGCCAAAACATTCATGAGAATTCTGTGAAAGGTCATACACATTCAAGTTCATAACCTACTTATCCTTCCACAACCAATAAAAATGATGACTTTAATTTTCAACACTTTGCTCAATACAATTTTATTTCGGCATGTCCTTCATGAAAAACAACAACTGAATGCTTGTTCCAGACTTCTGAAATCTTTAAGCAGTATTATTATAATCATGGTAATATGGGAGATCATTGCAGTGTCAACAAAGAAGTGGCAGTACCTGCTCCCATGTTCTCAGGAGAGTCTGGTTCCATGGGCACAAGGGCACAGAAATGTCCACGAGTGTATCCAAGTGCAATAGGGGACTTCCAACAGAATGATGGTTCCCATAACAATGGTAAGTACACACCTGGAACATAGATAAATATGAATAAATGACTGATTAAGAATGTGTATAGTAAATGTTTCGACATATATGCTTTACAGAAATTTAGTGAATATCATCCAGCAAAGATGACTGAAGAAAAAAGACATTCTTTCTCACCCTCAAATCTTGCAAAACCCAAGTCCTCTCCTCTAAAGCTCTTGACACACTTTACTCCATACACAATCACTGGTCGTCGCAGGATGTGGGCAAGGACAAAGATGTGCAGTTGTTCCAGTGCGGCACCAGGTTGGGAGGCCAAGCAGATCAACTCTGCCCATTCCTCAAGGACTTGGCCTTCAGGAACATAGTAGTCTAGAAGTCGAGCCTGCCATCGTTCGTATTCTTTCCAACGGGGATAAAACCTACAAAAAACACATTCAAATTAAATAATATGAAGATACAGGGGAAAAGTAAAAGAATGAGAAAAATACAGAAACAGAGCATGAAAA